TATATCCAGCCTAAACCTACCCTGTTTTAGTTTAAAACCATTACCCCTCATCCTGCTACTGCTGTCTCTACTAAAAAGATTGTCCTCATCTTTCCTATAGGCTCCTTTTAAGTACTGAAAGGCTGCAATCAGGTCTCCCCGCAGCCTTCTCTTCTCCAGGCTGAACAAGCCCAGCTCTCTCAGCCTGTCCTCATAGGAGAGGTGCTCCAGCCCTCGGATCATTTTTGTAGCCCTCCTTTGGACCTGCTCCAACAGTTGCATGTCCTTCTTGTGCTGAGGGCTCCAGAGCTGAACGCAGTACTCCAGGTGAGGTCTCACCAGAGCAGAGTAGAGGGGCAGAATCACCTCTCTCGACCTGCTGGCCACGCTTCTCTTGAGGCAGCCCAGGACATGGTTGGCCCTCTGGGCTGCCAGCGCACATTGCTGGCTCATGTCCGGATGAGGGGAGAGATGCGGCTGTGAAATCGTTTATCAATGGCAGGTCTAATGAAACGAGAACTCTCCATGCTGCAAAAGAAACCTTTACCTGGTTGTGCATGAGGGACTGAGGACAGGAGCCGTGTTAGTTCAGATCCTGGCTGCCTGCTGGGGGCCAGGCATGCCGGGAGACCCGAGTGCTCCGAAACATCCAGCTGGTCCCTTGCGCTCAGCCCAGTTGCTGGTTGCTCGCAGCCTGACTGACCGTGGCTCTTGGCCAACTCATGGGCTAAAAACATCTGAAAACAAGGGGAATTTTGCCAGAATATCCAAAGCGTTGGCCTGAGCTAGTAGCTCTTTCAGAAACACACACAATAGATGTTTATTTTAAATGCTGGTGCGTGGTGCCCGGAGCACATCGCAGGCTGTCAAGCGGGAGACAGAATCCGAACACAATTTCCAGTGAAAAGTGGCCCGAGCCCCTGTTCGGGCAGGGCAGGCAGAGCGCATCGCTGCGGGCTGCGCCGCTGCGTCTGTCCCGTGCACGTCTAACGACGCTGCCTCCTCTTCCCTTCCAGTCCGACATGCAGAGCTGGGAGGAACAAAGCCAAGGAGCCATCTACACAGTGGAGTACGCTTGCAGGTACGAGAGGCCCCTCCAGGCAGGAGGGCTGTGTTCGCTGGCGGAGGTGTTGTGGTGGAAACGAAGCAGGGGCTGCCTGCGCTTCCCTGACGCCTCCCTGGTGTAAGCCAGGAGGGAGCGTGGTCAGGGTGGGGGTGTGAGGGTGCGAGGCAGCGCTCTCTGAACCGTTACTGCGAATCTCAAGGGCTTCGCTTTGACGAGCGTGCCAGCTCTTCCCCAGTTCCGTGCTCGGTGCAGACCTGCCAATCTCCTGCGGGAAATCCACCCACCAGCCAGCTCGTGTGGGAAGATGCAACGCGCCAAGGTTTCTTACTCACAGTCCTCTCTGTCAGAGGCTGCGTGCTCTAAAACCACCATGCCTTTGCAAACACTAACCAGCCCTCCATCTCCCCGCCCCTCTTTTCTTCCTTCAGTGCCATAAAGAACATGACTGACAGCAGCGTGTACTTCAAGAGCATTGATAATCTGCTCAAACATGCCATAGCCATGAAGGATCAGCTGAACGCGGCTCAGGCCCGCAGGTAGCGAGGGGATGTGACGCTGCCCGTTTATCTGAGTGACTGCTCTGGCTGGCAGAGGCTCTGGTGATGTAATGCAGCCTGGTGCGGATATGCCACGCAGTTCTCTCAGTAATGTGATTCTGGACTATTACTTGAAAGAGCACGCCGCTTGCCTTCCAGTGATCTTCTGGCTTTGTTCACTGGGAAGCAAATAATCTTGTTTACAAAAGGGTAACTGGAAAATAATTTATTTCCTTATTTGAAAAGGGCTGCTTGGTTGGGTAATGCATTAGATCTTTGTTGTGTCAAAGGCATTTGGAGTGAGATGACGCTGCCGAGATGGAGCAGGTGAGAGGCTGCGTTTGGTGCTGTTCTCTGTCCTGTATGTGGCTCCTCCTGGGCAGAGTCCCACAGAGACAAGTGGCAGCAGAATGATGAAGCTTTTTAGTATGTTTGCAGTTGAACTACAGCTACTAAAACATCTTCCAGCAGATCATCTGAGTCTAGTGTATTTGTCTCTCCTGAGAACGGTGTTGGTGTTGGAGTCTGACTGGGTAGGAGTGAGAAAATTCCCAAATGCCCATCCCTGATAAAACCACCACAGCCAACAGAGAGGCTCTGTCTCTGCAGCATGACTCTGCCTGAGACTCTTGTGGTTCAGGTTCCTTCTGTTCGCAGTGGCCTGCGTGGCAGGGGCACACTGCGCAGCCCAGAGCATTTTTAGTGGTTTTTGCGGTGCTGTGGCTGCAAAGATTGCCCTCTTGACACCCATGGGAGCTGGTGTGCGCCGCTCCGTAGTCTGCACAGCAGACTGAAAGCTGTGCTTGTCCAAGCTGCTCTCCTGCTGCAAGCAGCGAGGTTTCGTTTGAGGGAGCCCCTGGCTCTTCACATCTTCTGGCTGTTGGTGTCCTGCCTGCCTGCTGGACCTGACTGTCTCTTTCTTTTCACAGCGCTGCTGCCCCACAAGCTAAGAATTCTCCAGCCAGTTCCTAGTTCCTGGTTTCAGACAAGACTGGCCATCCCCTGCTGCCTTCTCCAGCCCAGCTTTGTGTTCTCCAACCACGGGGAGGAGTGAGAAACCACCAGTTCAATCTGAAGCTGCACAGAGGCCTCTGCCTGCCTCTCTGTTCCCGGTAACAGGGTGCTGCACCTGAGCAGGCAAATCCTGGGGTCAGGACAGCCTTTATGGGGTGCTTTGGGGAGCAGCTGTGTCCCTTTCCACAGCACTCTGCAAAGGGAAAAAGGGGTGGGTCTGCATTTGTCCCTTCCAGTTCTTTCCAACAGCAGACTGTTAGCTGTTTTTCTCTCTACCTCTTGGCCGCAGAAATATCTCAGAAAAACTAGGTCTTGCTTTCAGTATTTTGTAGGTGGCTGTGTAAAGATGTAATGTGGGCACACTTCAGCTTTGTTCAGAGGCATTCTGCAAGGAGAGTTTTTCATGTGTGTGCCAGGGAGCTGCTGAAGTTGGTTTTAGCGAGAACAATAATAAAAAGAAAAAACAAGAAAGTTCTGTCTAAAACCTTCCCCTGTTGCTCACTCGGGCTGGGGGGTCTTGGAGCCTGCTGGCTCTGCGTGTTCAAAGGGCATGGAGCAAAACAAAGACGTGCAGAGTTGGAGCCTTTCAAGTGAAAGAAGAAACTGTCCCGTTCTTAAAAAAAAAAAAAGGCTTTCTTCATCCCCTGTCAAGCAGTGGGAAGCAGAGCTGTACGCACAGCTTTGGAGGTCACTTTAAAAAGGATGCAACTTCAATGTTAATCTCTCCTGGAACCAACAGTTCTGTTCTGCTGAAGAATTTACCAAGGATGCCCAAGAATTTACCAGGGATCAAAGCAGTGCTAGACTCGGTTTCCAAAGGAATTGTACTGTGCTCAGGGTAGCAGCTGTTGTTCAGGGTAATAGCACGGGAGGTGAGAGGGAATCTGTTTGAATCGGTCGCCTCCCTTCACTCCCCGAAGTGCTTTACTGGTTGCTGGATGAGAAGGAATGGGGCAAGAACCACGCGTGCTGCTGCTCTGCGCCTGGGCAGGGTGGGCAGAGCGTGGGGCTGCGAGTAACCAGCGCGGTGTTCGCCAGTGCCGGGACGGAGCGAGCTAACCCTGCTTGTGTTTCACGGCGACAGCTGCTGCCTGTAGCACCGGTGCCCTCTGTCCTGCACACCGCAGAGGACTGGCAGCAGCAGTGTGAATCCCTTCCCGGACCTCAGCCTCGACCATCGGCACTCTTCTGGTGGCACCCAGGCAATCCCCAGAGAGGTCCCTCCACCGCTGAGCAGAGCCAGGGCACTGGGGCTGCGCAGGCACAACCCCTGAGAACTGTTCAAAGTGTCCCTGCTTAGTAAGCTGTGTTCTGCTCGGAGGACCAAGCAGCAGGCTCTCCGCCACCCTACACCCACCCTCTGCAGCTCGCAGGCTCCCCTGGCTCCATCTCGCTTGTTGCTCCTCCATCACCTCCCTCGGTTCCTTGCACCTGCCTGGCTGCGGGGAAGCCCTGCTGGGTCGGTTGTGTGGATCATCTCGGTGTAGCGCTGGCTCCTGGGGATGGAGGAGGAAGGAAGGAGGCAGGGGAAGGGCAGGGAGGTACGGACAGCCTGAGAAATCATGTGGGATCTGCTGGAGAAAGGGTAGGTCTGCTTGTGGGCAAGGTCCACTCGCTGCTGCTCACCCACGTGTTCCGCTTCCTTCATAGAATCATTAAGGTTGGAAAAGACCTCGAAGATCATCAAGTCAACTGTCAACCCAACACCACCACGCCTGCTAAACCATGTCCTGAAGTGCAATGTCTACACGCTTTCTGAACCCCTCCAGGGATGGGGACTCCACCACCTCCCTGGGCACCCTGGTCCAACGCCTGGCCAGCCGGGGGGGTCGCTGCGGGCGGGTGCCCTGCCGACGCAGTCCGTGCTCATGGGGTGGCAAGTGCCAGCAGTGGGGCTGGGCGCTCAGGGCAGGCGACTGAGGGCTTTTGGCTTTGAGCAGAGGTGGCTTTTTCTCAGCAGAAGAAGCGAAGAGCATCGGGCAGTGGCTGTGCTGGGCCCTGGCTGGGAGGGCAGAGGGTGGAAAAGCAGCCGCCCTCTGCTCCGGTGAGACGTGACCTATATTAAGCTCTAAACAGAGATGCAAATCGTGGCCCTGGTGCCTGCAGCTCCCCTGGGACGAGATGGAGCCAAAAGGTCCCACTTCCACTCACACCAGAGTTGAGTCCTTGCCTGAGGCCCCAGGTTTGCGTGACAGCACGTTCCTCATCTCCTGCGTGACACCGTTCCAGGGCTTGCCCTGCGCCTGCAGCAGGCCTGACTCTGCCGACAGCGTCCGGTGCGTCCGGGGCAGGTTGTAGCTCTCCTTCTCGGAGCGAAGCCCGGGGCTGCCCGAGGAGGTGAGGTAGCTGCTGGCCGGAGAGCCCAGCTGGGATTTGCGCTCCAGGAAAGGAGGGAAGGAAAATTCCCGGTGGATCTCGGGCCGGGGCCGAGGCACAGCCGCGTCCTTGTTGTTGAGATCGCTGGTGGAGGATTCGCCGTGCTGGGCAGAGTCGTTCTCGTACAGGGTGTGAGAGACCTCGGAGCGGCTGTGGCGCGAAACCTGGGAAGCCCGTACCAGGGCGTGCGTCACTGTGATCAGCAGGACAACGATGCCGGAGGAGAGGATGCAGGCACTGGCGATGCCGGCCTCCAGTTCAAACAGCAGCAGCATGTAGATGGCGAGAGCTGGAAGGGGAGTGCAGAACACCTTGAGGAACCAGAAGGGCTAAAGCGATGCATTTGGCCTGCAAAATTCAGGCCAGAGGAGCCCTCCTGAGGGCTGGTCATAGAGAACAGAAAGTTCGCACTACAGGAATGAGCTGGCAAAGCCATTTGCAAAACAAACCCGATGCTGAAGTAGAAACTCGGCAGCTCGCGAGCACTCAGCAACCAGTGCAGAGTGCACGGTCTGGGCTGAAAATGCACGGTCCCTGCTGGGCTGTGCTGGTGGGAAGTGAGCACTTGCCTGTTAGGTAGACTGAGACCCCGCAGCAGAACAAGCCGATGGCAGCGTGGCGAACCGTCCGGCTGTCCAGAAGGAACCAGTCTGCCCTGTAAAACAGGTGAGAAAAAGGCAGGTCTGTGTAGTCTCCTGGCCCTGGCCTCAGCACAGCTAAAAGGCTGATGCTCTGGCCCCTGCTGAGAAACTGAAACCCTGGTTTTGCATAGGGAAGGGGTTCAGAGCCAAGTCAGAAGCCCAAGGACCTCTGCCGAACTGGGGCTTCCCCCAGGCTGCTGGGTTGCACAGCTCTGGGCTGCGTTCTGCCCACTCTGCAACAGAAGAGTTTGAGATCCCTTGTTAAACTGCAAACTTTTCCTGCCCGCTTCAAGCTGTGCTTGGGAAACCAGGTGGGGACAGGGGCTCAGGAGAGAGAGACAAACGGCTGGAGGCTTTCTGCAGGTGATTTCCCCCTGTTCAGCAAACCCTGAAGAGCAAGCGAGGAACAAAACTGGGGCCTGTCAAACCCGTCTCCTCCCTTAAAGAATGACAAGTGAAGTGCTGGCGCATTGAATTCAGCAAGGCCAGGTTCTCTCGTCGCCCTTGTGACTGGCTTTCTGTGCTCAGCTCAGATTGCAAGCCTTTTGTCTGGAGGGGGCTTGGTACTGGAATTGTGCTTCAACCCCATGAAAAGACCAGCTCCTTTCCAGCAGGGCCTTTGTTTCTACCCAGCCCCGTGCCTGCTGCCTGCACCTTCCCCCGGCACGCTCTCTGCCCAGCCACGGTGCCCTGGGAGCCAGGCTGGCCTGGCCAAGCTCGGTCCTCGCCCGGCTTCGGAGGCTGCTG